ATATATATATATATATATCTACTAGTAATTATATTTGGTAAAATCGGGCAAAAATTTATGGTAAAAAATTTACATAAAAAAATAACTTCGTAATTTTATAAAATATTTTAAGACAAAATTTACACACTAAATTAACTTATTTGAATTTTCAATTTCATTAATTAAAATTTAACAACTTTTATTGCATAATACAAGATGAAGAAATTAAAATTTTTTCGTTTAAGAACTCATTAAATCTCTCCTAAGGATAGTCGGTATGCTTTTGTCCTGAGAATTTAGTATAGAGATGAACCATATCTACTTTCGATGATACAATTTTATCAATAGTGTCAGAAAATGTATGTAGTCACGTAGTTCACAAACTGAAAATAGATGTATTAGTACAGACGATTTTGATAGGAAAAAAATCGGTATGGTCTCTCTCAAATTTTTCTCTGGTAGTACATATAAAATATAAGAATACGGCAGATAGCACTAAGTTGAAGACGATTATAAAATAAAAAGAACAGAATTGAATTTATTTTATGCTTTTATTCTACCAAACACTGTAGTATATAGCATTATATAGTTTGTATACTGAATTAGTTTTCATATGTAATAATTTTATACATAATTTTATACATAAATCATCATTTCATAAGACATCATCTTCGTCAGAGTTTTTTTTTCGTATTTGTTATCAGCAAATCAAGTCCTTTAAGCATTTTTATTTTGAACGTTCTCTATAGTCTTCTTAACAAGTGCTTCCCATTCTTCGGGCCTATTCTTTGTAAACCAATCACTTAAAACATTCAAAAGTTCTTTTTGTTTTTCGGAGCATTTTCTGCATTGCGTTTGCATAGCTTCATTTACGATTCCTGAAATCACAATGACAAATTAAGTTTCACATTTATCCGTTTTATAACATAAAAATAAAATCTATAAAAATAAAAAAGAATGAGAAAAAAGAATATTTGAAAATCGATATTTAAAAATGCAATATTTCTTAGCATTACTGCAAATCGTGTGTGTTTCAAAGTGAGAGTCTATCTTTTGTTCAGCACATTTCTAAGAAATTGTTTATTCGAAGCACGCAGCAAAGTGGTCAAAATCGGTAGTTTAATCGGTAGTTTTAAATCGGTAGTTAAATACGCGCGCACTGTTTATCGCGCTAGACTTTTATGAGTTGTTTTAATTTAATTTTATAATTTTTCCAATTAAGTTATTTTATCATAAATTACATATAACCAATCTACTTAAATACTTTTTATCAATATTTGATTATTGATTAATTTATTTTTTATTTTTTATTACATATATATTTAAATATTTTACAT